AAATCGTCTTTTCCAGTGGGCTTTCAATTTCAAATTTATTATGTTTCTTGAATTGTTTCATTATATTTGATCACCAGTTCGTTAGCGGACGGTCTCAACCTCTTCTCTGTTCAGACAGAATTATCAACTTGTTATAATGGTACAAACCACTAAATCTGTAATGATTATATATCATTGCTATACAATTTGAGATAACAAGTATTATTATGAAACTTAAGCATGGGTATTCATATCAAATTTTATGCATCCTTTGCAGTTCAGCGGCTGAACAGCGTAGAAGAAGTAAGACTCCTTCACTTTTCAACACCTGATCTGTGTAACAGTACTGGTTTAAATACAGTTTAATAGTAATACAATAATGCGATGCTGATAATCATAAATTTATATTTAAGACCATCGGCAGCACAAGTGATAGATATCGCGAAGAAAACGATAGGTATATAGTCGCAATCATATTATTATACATATAGAAATAGGCGAGTATTCGTCCTCTTCCCAATATCAAATATTGGTCCGTAATGTAACAAAAGAATGATATACGAAACAGATTATTACGAAAATAGTTTCTACAGATGTTTCGGCTTTTGGCACGTACGGCTGCTTTATCAAACGACTAATAATGGATTGAGATTACACAAGATTAATATAATAGTTTGTAAAAGTGTAGCTATTGTATTTTATATACTTATACCACAAATTGTGTAAAATGTCACAAGATTGAATGCATCACAGTTATATATTCCATGCTATATATATAACATATAACAGTACATTTAAAATATTTTCTAAACATGACAATGAAAGAGCTTCATATGGAAATTAAAATCATCATCTCTCATGAAGAGACGACCCGCTATGGAAGCTAATTACCTGATCATCGCATAACGCAATTGCAATGCTCTAAGTTTAATACATGTTAAATACAACTTTATGTATAATTAAACTTCAATATTATAGAAGTAAAGTTTGATTGGTTTATGAAGACGTGAAGACTAAATGAACAAACTGGTAATGACATTGCTATTTCTCAGGTGTTAATTTGTTTAGTTGTGTTATAAACTTTGCAATAACACACAATTTCATAAACTCGAATATAATATATTAACCTCGTGCGGGCTAACACAGTGTAGGACGACCCCTTCCCCACTAGTTGGAGTGACGATCTCATCATCATCATCATCTTATCAGCCTCTAACTGTCCACTGCTGAACATAAGCCTACCCCTTGTGGGGGTTTTACCAGTAATTGCCACGCTTGGCAGGCGGATTAGCAACCGCAGTCAGGCTTTAGAGATGTCTTAAAAAGGACGCAGCTGCCCATCCCCCCCCCCCCCCTTAGTGATCTCTTATGACATCCACGGGAATGTAAGGTGTGGCATAGAGCTGGGACAACACGGCCGACGACGAAGACCTCATGCATTACAGGCAGTCAGTGGATGCAGGTGACTCAGGACCATTCTTTATGGCAATCTATGAGGGAGACCTAGCAGTGGAAGGATAATGACTGAATTAGTATTGGGAATTTGTCAGCTCCATTACTAGCAATATACCCTATCAGGTCGATATCCACGCGATTCCCCCATGGAAACCATATAGTTAATTCTTGTGGAATTTATCACGATGGGCTAACTGACCTGCTTTCATTTTCACCTATTATCCCTCACCGGTGCCCTGCCAGCGTATATCCATAGTGCAGGCGGGATTACTATTTCATTATTATCCCATAAAAAATAGCATTCACCACCACAATCACTTTTCCCATAACCATAGAATATAGCCTATTATTATCTATGCTGGTCAGGTGTCTACGTATAGGGTTTTCATTCGGATTTTTCTTCTCTTACATTGGTATTTTAATTTTGTATCTCTACTCGCCTCTTACAATATCCGGCTAAAATGAACATTTAAATATAAAAACATTTACATCAAAACTTCAGTTATGAAATACATTGAATTTATCAATTAATTAATTATATTATAAAAAATCCGACCAAGTACAAATGTGTTATACTGTGTTCCATATTTCATGGAGATAATTGTACAACTTTATAAATATTATCGCTCGCTAGATCTCTGTTATGCCTACGTTTTCTTAACACCCTTATATGAATACAAAATTTATCATTATGATATCGTAAAATATTTCACAGTGAAGATCCTATATACGAATATTATAACGAAAACGATATGTCGATTGGTACTCTGTTGAGACCCGATACACAATTTCATTAGATGGTACATAAAAGTCCATTAGGCTCCTGCCGCACTACGCCCAGAATAGCAAGGGTCAACCTTGAGACCTTCTACATCCGTTTGTCGAGGGAATAAACACTTACTGCATTTTTACTTTAATAAATTTAATTTATATTATTATATATAATTGTAGAAACTATGCCTTTCAAGACAAAAATCTTAAAAGAAAGTTAGCTTAGAAAGGAGAAAAGAGAAAAAAGAAGACTGCTTAACGGGCCTTTTAATATATTTTTCCTTGTTTTGCATCTCTCTATATCGGTGTACATATCAATATAGACAGTTTTGCTTGTTGTTTTACAATTCTGTACAATAAATAACCTTTGGCCTTCAATATCAATATTTACAAGAAATATTATTAAATGAGCTAATGTTATAAAATTAGATGGCAGTATAAAGTGTGTATATGTTTTTGGTACACAGGCATGTGGCAATATTCTACCTTAACAACAAATATTAATATTTTTTTTATATAATTAGTAACAGTGTATAAATTAGCGGTCTAATTAAAAGTATTAGTCGACGCCTACAGACATGAATGTGTACAGCTCAATTAAATTCACAGAATACACTTTATAATACTCCTCCTGCATTGATATTCCTGAAGGCTAAGATGTTATATCTGTTATTTCATTACAATATATCTTATTGGTATAAAAAAAACATGCAAAACACAGATGCTCAACGACAGAAACACGAGAACAGAGATACTTAAGAGAATGATTTTTGTCTGGTATTGGCGATCATGAAAATTGGCATTCGTGTGTAATATTTAGTACGTGAATTAAGTCCATTTTAAATTTAAATGAACATGTACAAACATAAATTAACAACATATTTTATTCTTACTTCAAATAACAAAAAACTCATCAAAATGTAAGAGCAGATAAAAATTGCTATCTTATTAAGCGGCAAGGTCTACCATACTCTTCCATACTTTATAAAGAAATTCTTCTCTTTGAATAGCGCAGACCGTGGAGCCTTTTAACGGTCCTCTATTCATTCCGACTTTTTCATGATCATTTATATCCTTTCCCTCAACATCACAGGTACAACTTAGAGCTTCGATATTTACTGCGAACATTCAAACAAATTGAATGCAGCACTTATAATAATGCGTTTGTAATGGAATCTTTATTCCAGATGCGATATTCTGTAATTAGTATCATTAATAGACTATCAAGAAGCCTGGATTATCTTCACAAATAAATTTATTTGTGATATACAAATAAATTTTATTTTATTTTTAAAATAATGTAGGTGTCATATGCAGCTGTATATGGTCTAGAGTTGGGCAGCAGCGTCTCTCTTAAAACATCACCAAGGTCTAATTGTGGTTGCCATCCCACCTGCCAAGCATAGCAACTACTAGCAAAACTCCCCTTTTGGGGAGGTCTATGTTCAGCAGTGGGCAATTACGGGTGATATGATGATGTTGAGGATAATATGCATTTGCATATTTTATTTTTTACCTTGGTGGTTAATAGAACTTTTTATACGGTTTGAAATGGCAAACAAGCTGACAGCAGACTTAATGAAATATGCAAGGATGTCATAGAATCGATACACTTAAACAACCTTGTTAATCCTCATGTATTGTTTTTCTTAAGAAAAAAATATGCATGTAATATTTTATTGAAATTATTATAATTAATTATTTTGTGGAAATTCATGTAATTTCATTATTCTGGTTAAAGAATTGTTATTATTTTATTATTTAGTTTTAACATTAAAATATTATAATAGACATAGTCGTTGTGATTTAGATCATACTTAAAGTTCATACCAAAGATGTTAAAGCAATCCTGCTGAGATCATGGCATTATTCTGAAGTGAGGAAATAGAACTCAAATATTATAACCCCTAATGATATTATTTCCGCAAATGAATTCAGCAACTTATTATGTTGTTTGTTTAACCATTTGACTAGCCTGTTTCTATTTGATGACCTATCAGTTTATATCGGTTACTCTAACTTTACTACAGATGACCCCATTAATATAATGTATGTTTATAAACATATATTTAAAAATAATATTATGTATACTATTTATGTAACTTTTTTGTCTGTCAATATGTATATGAATATTTTTATATTAGATATACTTCTTGCGCCAATAGCTACCGTCTTTTTCTTTTTATCCTCTACCCATAGATTGTCTGGTAAAGATTGCTTTAGCGATAAGACCGCCTTTTGTACGTTATTAATAATATATACATATATATTATTCTTTACGTGGTGCATTTATTAATAAATAAATATATATTCGCATCTCGTACAAACTAACCAATTTTGGTGAAATATAGTAATATTCCAGAATAATATTCGATTGATTGTAAAGTTACGAGTACATTATACATAAATGCGTTATTATTACTATAGCCGTAGGTACTAACTACACCCCAAGGTTTAACAACTGTTTCATGATTTAAGATAAAAAAGTAATATATGTAGTATTCTAGCACATTATATATTTAGTAAAAAAATGAATTTAAATCAGTTGAACAATTTAAGTGTGATTAAATGTCATACGTACAAACATTTTTACACGCTTTTATTTTATTATATTGGTAAAACTTTTTATTTATTTAAGATAAAATTACTTGATTCATCCAGTTTATTGTTATAATGCATTTTTTATAATTAACTTACTGCGTAAGTATAATTCCAGCAAAATAAACAAATATTGAGTTTCATCGCTACATTCTTGACAACAAGCGGAATAGCTGTGATAACGCGAGCTCCAAGAAATCGGTAAGTAAACACGGGGTGGGGGTTATCTTAAGTTATTCGTTTAATTGCTCTACTGTGCTTTTGCTCTCAACATTCCATTGGATAATTTGGATCAAGACGGAAACGTTTACTCTAACCTCACTCAAGTAAGTATTATCATTAGTAATAATTAAAATTCGTTGATTTATTTACTATTTCTAAATAAATTATACCTAACTTCAGTAGTAAATTTAATTCATTAACATGTATTACAAATACATATATATAGTTAACACGGTATTAATATAGGAAGAATTCACATATAATATTTATTGAAAGCAGACTAATATCTATTGTCCAATATTGAATAACTTAACAATTGTTCTATTTATTTAAGTTTCATATTGGAATCAAATATTTTCTAGCAGAGGTATCCTAATAATTTAGTATAAATGTGATTTTAAATGAAAATAACCAAAATTCATTGTCCATTTGCGTAGCCGGAAAAATACTTTGGTTACAAATTCGGATAAATAGTTCCCAGATTCTTGGAATATTCTGAGATTTATCCGAAACCTAGATAGATAATAATTATCTATCTACAAATTGTATTTAAGGATTCTCCGATGAATATGAGAATCTATAGAATTAATGATTTATATTTCCAAGAATTTTTTGAATAATCATATTAAATGTTCAAAGAGACCTACTTGGTTTAAAATTTCATGCATCGACCTTGAAAGGGAATTCTATATTTACTGCAGTTTCCCATTGTGTGTTGACATTCAACTCGTGTGTTAACGTTCCTAAAGATTGTGGTATTTTCTTTTTGTTTCTGAAAGTTATTATGTGTCGTTATTATCAACTCATTCCGTCTTTTGTCCATCATAAACTTGACACAAATATCTTCCAAAGATGTGCTCCATATTAGCCTATTTAAGTAACGATGGTTATCGTGGCCAGATTTCTTGATATACAGTTTTATTTCGAGTTTTCCGTCACTTTTAGTACTGTATAATACTTTGTTCTCGTATATACTCTACTACTACCTCTTAGATATACTAGGAAAGAAAAAATAACACCTGATTTTTTATATAAGTTGGGATAGCTAACAATAAAAATAAAAATGTATAATAAATTACCCAATACAGTAACGCAATTGCCGAGAAATAAATTTAAAAATAAAATAAAGACATATTTTGAACAACATCCTTTTTACAACGTGACCGAATACCTAAATGCCAATATTAAATTATGACATTATTATTTATTTCTGTTTAACTGTAAGAAGTGTGACAATTCCAATTTTATAACTTGAAGTCATCATTATTGGTATATAGTTACTATTATATTGACATGTATTAACTAATTTATAGTGTTAACTGTAATTAATTTGTAATGTTATTTTTATTTTATAATTCAAATGTTATTATTATTGTTATTGTTTATTTTATTAATTTCAATATTAGAATGTAAATATTGACTTGCCATTGTGTGACGAAAACTGTTAATAAATACATTGGTTAATAAAGAAATATGAATATGAATATTAGGATGGAAATCTGTAACCATAATTTATAGACAGATGTATATATCAACATAGATTAAATTGTAATTTACTTTAATGTACCCACACATTCTCCCATATCACACAAATTGTGTCACTGTGTTGAAGGTATATTATTATATACCTATATAATTTGAAAATTTTCTTCTTCTGTATCTTGTGTTTTGTACTACGATTATACTTGTTTCAGTATGAAAGCTGTAATAATATTGGCGGTGCTCGCGTGCGTTCTAGTCGCAACTTACGGTGATTTGGTTTGTGGTACCAATTTCTGCAAGAACAATCCCTGTAGTACACGCGTGGCTGCAAATAGTTGTCGTTCACCGTCTGTCTATCGCCAGAACCATGCAGGCAAATGTGCTTGTTGTCCCGCTTGCGTTACTCTTCTACGTAAGTATAAATTAATGTAATTTTTTAAATTGAAATAAACAAATATATCTATTCTTACACCAATGAATATCTTTTTACAGAGTATATATATTACTTATTCCAACCTTTACAATACATTCCTTGAAGCCATTTAAAGATATCTTGATTATCGTTTTAAATTGTCTTTCTTTAGATTACATAATACAACAATTAAGGATTTCTATTCAATATGAAAGTTTGACTGGTATATGTAGAATGCTAGTAGTTCCACCTATTGTACTATGTATAATCACTACATTTAAATAAATAAGTTAAGAAACAATGTTACCCTATTAAATAATATTGTTTTTTTTTTGTTTTCAGCTGAAAATTCGGCATGCAAAACTTACAGTAAGGAACTGGGAGAAACACCCTCAGCCATTTGTCGTGAGCCATTGAAGTGTTTAAATGGAGTCTGTACCAAGATTCCCCCCAGATCCGGCTAGATATAAAAAAAAAACTTTTATTAAATACAGTTATACATTATACCTACATCATTCTTTATAAAACACAGCTACAAAATGTAAAACATTCTTCAAATAAAACACTTGCAAAGTTGTTTTGAAGAAGTTTATTTTGAGACATTAGTTTCAAAAAGTAATATCTAGGTGATTACCCTAATTTATTCAGCGAGAATTTATTCACTTGAGAATTATTAACGCTCAAGTAGGGAAATGCTAAATTTAGTGCTATGCCTCTAACTTGTCACCCCTCCAAGAAATTACCACGCTCGACGTTGCATTACTTTATTGATCAATGGGACCCTCAACTAATGGGTATAACTTTAAACTTAGTAAACTACAGTAATTGCTTATTATATAAACTATCATCGTAGATACTATGATGCAAATTATACTAATATGAAGTGTCGGTTGGTTACTAGCTTAAATTAAAAAAAACGACTTAAAAAAATGATTTAAATTATGATTTCAGATACTTATTTTATTTATTCCTGTACTATTATTGATTGTGGACTTCGAATATATTAACATATACTTGAAGTCTTCTATTGTGTATATTCTACAAAGCTTACAATGTATACAGTAAGTTTATGGGTTTGTGAAAGGGACATACATTCCATGTTTAAAGCTGACCGTGTAAGTAAATCTAGTTTATTGATATGAATTTACCCTAGTTGTTGTACTTATATGGATAGTTCCCTAATATTTATATATAAAAATGTTATATGTCTGTAGAAACATAATAGGAATAGTTTTTTTTTTTATATAACCTAGGGTACAGACATATTATGTACATTGCGATCTAAGCAGAATTCTATTAGTAATCCCAAATTAAAAATTCCAAGATAAAAGATCCCTCGAAGTATCTTCGGTTTTTCTAATGCTATTTATAGTCCCATTGTTGGACAAGAGCCTTCTCAATTCCATTTCACTTTATTATTATACTTTATTTTCTAGTTAACTAATGCTTGGTATTATCTACTGATCTTTACAGTGCCCTAACTAATCATTTTATTTATTTACATATAATTTTACTTCTATTATTTGATCTGTCACATACACTACTTACCAATTTTTCGTATTCAGGAGAAGTTTTATTGATGAATCTATCTACATCGAATTTTTAATAGGTTTTCATTTTACTTAATAATATTTTGAAAAAATTAAATGCATTAGATTAACATAGTCTATTTATAAATATATACACTGAAGAACTATTCAATGGGCATTGTCTTATACAATTTTATTTTCTTTCCTTAAAAACTATTTATGAACATTAAAAAATAGCCAAATCAGTACAAACAGTCTCATGTTATGCTCTTACTAACAAACAGCATTAAATATCAATTTATATAGATACATATTTTGTATTCAGCACAATCACTGAAACCGAATAACATTTTATTAGGCATTGATATAAGAATATATTATTATTAATTAAACAAAACACGATGAGATAAGCCACAAACGGAACGTTGTTGTGTCGGGCTGTTCACAAGCGATAAAAACAAACAACATAACTCTTCGACTCGAGTGATTCTACTCCCATTCAAGTGCGTTATCCTTTTCAACCATTTCTCATCTTAGGTACTCGTTTGTACAACGTGTTCGTCTATAAATATGCTTTCAATGAGATTACGAACGGACTAATGTTCGAGAATACGTTGAATAATAATTTAATGGTATTTAGATAAAAGATATTATGATAATATATGTATAGAAACATATAAAAGGAATTTTATAGAGCTATCCATTTTGGTTTTTTTTTGTCATAAATTAAAGAAAATCAGTTAGCCATTTATTTATCTTAAATAAACATAATATATAATTATTGTAATCTAATAATTACAGTAAAAAATAACTATTAACTTATTATCTATACACATATAATAATATATACGCCATCACTCTTTTCACCCCTAGGATATTATAAGAAGCGATTAAAGAAAGCATAATAGATCATTTCAAGAGAAGAAAAACTCGAAATAAAACCCCGTACTATGCCCAATAGTTCAAGTGAAAATTAATAAGTATTTAAGACTATTGCATAACTTTCTAAGTTCATACGCTATGCACAATTATTCCAAATTCGGCATTAGTTTTTATGGAATTGTACAATTATTACCTTATAACACAGGGTATCCTAATTTGAGGACGAGGCGGTTGGAGTGCAAAATTTGGTTGTTTGGTACTTTAAAAAAATGTCTTTAACGAACATTAAAACGATTATTCAACTTTTATAAATAAACCGATTACTTGACCGGTCGGTTTGAATAAAGTAATAAAGTATTCAGTGTTAAAATATTATCGTTTCTGTAATATACGAATAGATGTTAAAATCCTGTTTAGTTTACAGATCTGACTTAAATGGATCTAATAGTATTCCTTTGTGGAAATGGCATGTCTAATTAATATTACATTGAGATAGTTCCTTTTGTGTAATTGAGAATCTAAAGCCAATAATTAAATAAAGGTTTATAATACAATTCAGAAATTATATAGGCAAATATTTTAGTTTTTAATATATATTTTTTATGTTTATTCACATAAAAATCCTAACACTATTCATACTTTTATGTTACTAGCTACCTACTACAAGTTAAATAGATTCTAGCAACATAAATCTATATGTTTAAATAACATTACAAAACTTAGAATGATATTTTATAAAAATGAGAATTTTCTCAGCGTATCTACCAAAGAAAGCTAGTTAACAACATTTATATACAATGTACTACTTCTAATACAAATCTTTCTACCCTGATTGTATTGAATCTAAAAATGTTCTTTGTATATTACAACTCCATTATAGCAATGTCCATTGCTGGACATAAGCTTCTCTCTTGGGGGTGTTCAATAGTTGCCAAGCTTGCAGTTGCACGCAAGCAGCCGCAGTTACTAATGTTTTAAGAGGAACGCTGCTGCTTTTCCTTTGCCCTCCCTTACTTACAACCTTGGCTTATAACAATAAAAAAAATCAAATGTCAAATTAGCTAATTCAATTTTAAGGCACTTTTTATACTCTATGCCCTATCTATCTATTCTGTATATAGAAAAATATCCTAAAGGAAATATTATTAATAAAATAATAATAAAATTAAAATAAGAAAATTTTATAGTAAGTTGGGCTTTTATAGGAGAAGACGATTAAATAGTGACTTATGTTGAAGTACCAACGATGGATGACAGATGGAGATGAATCAGGTCAGTCCAACTGATTTCTTCAACTGATTCACCAGCAATTAACCATGATGAGAAGATGAGAAGAGGCCATATTAATTTAATCGTATTTGGATTCGCTTTATTTCCGACTCTTAAATTATCAATCAATAAGATTCACTCTTCTGTTGATTCCATATTGATTTTATAACTGTTTCAGTATCTATTTTATTACAAACTCTTGAAATAAAAAATTTATACATATATAGACATATAAATCTGCTTAACATTTTAAACTACAACGTATCAACAACCTCGAGTTCGAGTAAACCTCTTAGTATGCAAGAGGGCATGTCGACTTGATTTAGTGAGTGAATTTTGCCACCATTAGAAAACAAACAGATAAAGTAGATATTTTCACACGACACACGTCTCGACGATTGCTTTTGTCTAGACTACAAGCGACAGAAATTCCATTTCTACGTTTACTTTTACCTTTATCACAAATAATATAATACTAACCTATATCTATATATTTATGTGATATAATTATATTGTGTGTGAATTAAATAATAAACTTATCTATTTGTTTATTCTTTATATGCGCATATTATATAAAATTCCACACAAAAAAATCATCGTTCTTTTAACCTATCTGTCTTTCTTTGCTGAACATACGTAGTCTCTCATATTTCATCACAAAGTACGATTCTACGCCATTTTTATCCATACTCTTCCATCACTTCATCTTATGGGAGGGTCGCGCCCACTACCAGGTACCTATGTGCCTGTACGGAGTCGCCACTTGAAACCTTTATTTATACCTACATACAATAATATTATTAAGAGGAAAGACCTGATTATTTTTTTATTAATAATGGATAAACTTAAAAGCAGTTCAATCGATTTCAAATATTCTTTCACCTTTAGTATTATATTATCTGTGCCTTTAGAAAGCTTAATTATCATTGAGTAACATAGACTATATATTGTTTTCGAAAATTCTATCTAGTCGTGCAAGTCGGGCTGATTCACAAGTAAAAAAAAAGCCTATTTACTATATATACTTTTTATAAAATTGGTCAATTTTACGCATTGCATCACGACTGTATAGCAGATGAGATTCGTTAGTTCATTAGGTATATCTATATGAATGTGTTAAAGACACAGTACGTATATTAATTAAATTAACAAATTTAATTCATATTATGATAAACAACAAATAAAAAAAAAACTGAATACTGAAATTGAAAACTCAATGACCTACTTTTCTCGACCGTTTAATAAAGCAGTGCTGTTACTTATGTCCCGTTATCCTGGTATGTCCTGGCTGTACCTAATGTTCCTTTAAAATATTTCCATCATAAACTTTAGCTAACTCAAGGTTACTTGGAGCAATCTACTAGGAATATTATCCAGCATACAGGGCGGAACAATGCGAGCTATAAAGTTTTTATGATCTCACTGTTTACAGTGAGCGCCCGCTACTTTAGCTTCAGAATTGCAAAACTTGCAGCCGGGCAAAGGAACATGAATTGTATATAATTTTCCAACAACTGTTTATTATATATATATATATATTTATACAGAACAAAATATATGAGTAATGTGTTTACTATTTAATGAATTTATTATTATATATTATTGTAATTAGCATAACTTTTACAATAGTAATCTACCAACAAAACTTTGCACTAACACCGCGCATTTAACTTTCAAGTTAGTTTTAAAGCTAATCCTTACTACTCGTAATATTATAAATGTGAAAATGAGTTTGTTATCTCTTCGCGCCTTAACGGCTTAACCAATCACTTTAGAATTTGTTATACAGTTACTATATGAGATGGAAAAGGGCGTAGGTTACATTTTATTCGATTTGTAAATATATCCTGATTAGCCAAATAAAGCGCGGGAAAACACTAGTAGAATAATAAAAAAAA